TATCAATAATGGAGAAGCATGATATTATTAAAGTATTGCTATGTTTATGATATATTTTATTTGGATAATTGTTTCTACTTACTAGATGACATCATTTACATATGAATTTTGATTCTACTACAAATTTATTTATTTATTTATTTTATTTCTATTATATTTTTGTTATATGAATTCCTCGATTCCTATCTTTATGCTTCTCTATTTAATTTTTGTTGTTGTGTTAAGAAGCGTTGAGTATTTTTATTTGTTATGTAAGTAATTAGTAGCAATTGTTTGTTAAACTTTTTAATTCTAGCAATGTAATGTAGTCATAGGCAATTCATACAGAAGTGTTGAATATACCATTAAAAGGGCAATTAAATATATATATTCATAGAATTTCAATTTTAAACATAATATTTAGCTTATATGTTGTGTAATCCTAAAAATGGAAACTCTATTTTAACTGTGCCAAAGCAAGTAAGTTGCTGCCATAATAGGTTGTTTTCTTTTCGTTAGTGTGGCATCAATATTGAGTTTTGGAAGTCACTAACCTCTTTCACAGGAGAAATTATTTTATGCATTCATTGTACAATCCAAAGGTGAAACAGGATGCACCACATCACCCGGTACACAGCGGAACACAGCACCAGACAAAGCAAAAAAATGATGTGGCCCTTCCTTATTCGTCTCTTGATGTCCTTCGGTGACCGCACAGATTAATTTCTCCTTCCACTGGGTATCAACATGGTGAAAAAAAAATTATATGTGTTCATCGATAGATTTAGGATTCTTTTGAGATATTTTTCACATTGTTTTATTTTTCCATAAATAATTATTATTTAATTTGGATTTTTTTTCTTACTATTGTCGCATTGCTTTTACTTATTTTTAATAAATTTCTATAATGAAAATCTACTTTTTATAATCGAGCTAATTTTATTTTGCTATCACAACTTCAGATTGAACTTTGTAGAATGTTATAACCATTCCAAATAAATCGGTAGAGTTTCAGCTTAAGTGTAGCTACTAGATAGCCTTGTTTGACATGATAGAAGAAAAATTGGGCTTGCCTGATTTAAGGCGAGTCG